CCCCCTGCAGTTCGTGAGCACTTCTGCGGCTGCCCCTGACTCAGTGGCCCCAAAATGAGCCAGGCATCTGGTACCAGCCAGTTGTCCACAGCTCCCCAGGAGCAGCCCTCCAGCTCCCAAGAGCCTGCCAGGGGCTGGAAGAGATGGGCACCTTCCTAGTCTAGTGTGGAGGTCATGGACCTTATTGAGATTTGGGGGATGCCACCAACCTCCAGGATCTCCATACTAGACACAGGAAAATGGCTGTCAGGCCACATCCGCACCCAGGAACAGGTGCAGATTAAAGTTAATGAGCTGCGGCAGGCCCATGCAAGGGCCAGAGAGGGCAGTTCCTGACTCAGGGCAGAGTCAGACAGCTTTGATGCCCTGGACTGTATCCTGGGGGGAGGGACAATCTGTTCCCCCCAGGTGGTCATCAACTCCAGGGTGGAGCAGTCTGATGCCCCAACGACAGCACGGAGGAGGAGGAGGAGAGCCAGGAGCTGAACCTTGAAACATTGTATGGTGGGCTCAGAAAAAGCAGCTATGTGAAAACCAACATGTTAGGGATATGTTGTGTTCCGACATGTGTGGGATACAAAATGGTGATTGACTTTTGAAGTTTTGAATGCTTTATGGATCTCTTGAGTGTGTGTGTTGGCTTGTGCATGTGTGAGCACATAGGGTGTGTCTAGACTACAGAGTTTTGTCGACAAAAGTGGACTTTAGTCGACAAAACTATACCTGCGTCTACACTACCGCTGAGTTCTGTCGACATAACGTCGACAGAACTCAGCAGTTTTGTCGACGCTGGTAAACCTCATTTTACGAGGCATAACGCCTTTTGTCGACAGTTCTGTTGACAGAAGGTGTTATTGCATCTAGGGTTGTGTCTAGACTACAGGGTTTTGTCGACAAGCAGCTTGCTTTGTCGACAGAACTGAATGTAGTCTAGATACTCTTTGTCGACAGAAGCTTTGTTGACAGTATCTGTCAACAAAACTTCTGTCGACAAAAGCCTGTAGTCTAGACATACCCATAGTGTGCCACTACTGGGAACATGGACCCAGAAGACTGCCACACAGGAGCTTTGAGCTGTTAGCCATGGAGGTATGTGGAGAGACATGACATGCTCCTGACCCCAGGGTGGGACGCAGTGGGCCACTCTTCCTTCTCAAGCCCCCTCCAAGGAGACAGGGGACATTCTCCTCACCCCCCACCCTGCACACACACATACACACACAACACAGGGGCATGTCCGCAATCTTGGGGCATCTCCCAGTCCTGAGTACAGCAGGGCCCATTAGACATACCGAACATGGCCTGCATTCAAGCACATCGGCTCTGGTGGCACCGAGAACTGTCGTCCTTGCCTTGCAGAGGGGGGCTGGGCTTCAGGCACTGTGTCCCCAGGGATGACTGACCACTTGTCTTTGTTCTCCACGGCCAGACCAGCTGCAAGTGGAGGGCGCACCACATCACTTAGGACATCCTCCCGCACCCAAGGGATCCACAGGCCCACCTGTCCCATGGAGGAGTACCAGAAACAGCACCTGGGAGCACTGCAAGCCCTGCACTGCACCAGTGACCGTTGGGTGGAGGAAGACCTGCAGCTCCGGTGGGAGAGCTGGTGGGAGCAGCTTTCCTAGGGCCGCTCCATCTGCGCCCATCGGCAGACCCTGGTGCACAGAATGCTGCCTCCTCCCGCTCCAGCCTCTGCTGCCTCCCCAGCTATCACTCCTCCTCCCATTCCCTCTCTCCCTCCCACTTCTCTCTCCACACCCTCCCCACCCATCCTCAGGGATGACGAGGCCCCCGCACCCATGGGGCTGGAAGCCAGCAAGGCTGGTGCTGCTCCGACTCTCAGCTTCTCCTCCCCCTTCTTCCTCCTTCCAGCTCCCTTCTCCCAGGTTTTCCACACCACCCCCCTTTTCCCACCCTCTCTTCTCCCCTCTTCTGGCTTCTTTCCCCAGTCTCACCCAAGTTTCTTTGCCCTCCCAGTTTTGACAAATAGAGTTCAGTTTGTTCAAAAAAACCCTTTATTTTCCATGAGGAATGGGGGAAGGGAGGGATAAATAGAAGGAAGTGAGGGAGGAGCGAGGCACAAGCCCCCAGTGGGGCGGACCAGTGATCACTGATACTGCTCCTCTGCATAGAAGCTCTCCCGCAAGGCCTCCTGGATGTGCACAGCTCCCTGGAGGGTCTGCAAGAAGATCTGGGGGTTGGGTTCCTGCAGAGCCTGTGAGGCAACCTGCAGAAAGTGCTGCATGACTTGCAGCAAAATGTCCAAAAGCTGAAGAGTGCCCAGAGGCAGCTCCAGCTCCATGGTAGAGAGTGCTGTGGTGTCCAGAGTCAGGGCAACCAGAGCAAGAAGAGAAAATGCTTTGCTGTCCCTCAGAGAAGTAGGCAAGCAAGCAGGGAAACTTGAGAAATGGCTGTGCAGGGGGGTCCCTTTAAGCATGAGCCTCAGATAGCCTCAAGAAGCCGACTGATTTGATGCCTTGCATGAACTTGTCCCGGGCGGCCTTAAATGCAATTCAGTGTCCAATCAGTGTGGACGTGCTATTTTGAAATAGCAAAATGCTATTTTGAAATGCATTTTGTGTGTAGATGCGTTATTTTGAAATAAGATATTTCAAAATAATTATTCTGAAATATTTTAGTTCAAAATAACGCAGTAGTGTAGACATCCCTTAGGGTACTATAGGACTGCTCTTTTTAAAAAAAATTGTAAAGGTACAAACTAACACAGCTATCCTTCTAAGATTTTTGTATAAATAATATGAACTTAAGACATAGGATCACATTAAAAGGAAAATTCTATAGTGAGCAAATATTTTGCTCTTTTGACACAGATTCTGTACTGCAAAATGCAGCCTAAACTTCTGGGCACTAGACTTCAGGGTTGCCTGAATGCATACATGTACAAGTTAGTAAAATGGTTTGGCTTCCTTACGTCTGTCCATGTTCCTGCCACCCCCACTCCTGGTTTAGGAAGGGGTGGGGGACATGAACTAGGAAGAACCTGAAAAGTTTGGGGACCTCAGTTCTAATAATTTAAAACTTGTTGCATCAGTTTAGCTTGCCCTGAACTTGTATAAAAGATAGGTTTAAAATCTATTTAAGAGCTAGTGTAGAAGAACAGTTAGGGTATGTCTACATTGCAACACTATTTTGAAATAACTAGCGCTATTCTGAAATAACTTAGTCCGTGTCTATACAGCAGGCAGTTATTTCAAAATAGTGTCAAAATAGCGTTGAGCTGGAGGACTTCTTACTCTGACTCCTGTAAATGTCATTGTACGAGCAATAAGGGAAGTCAGAGATAGAGTGCTCTATTTCAAAGTAAGTGCTGTGTAGATGCTCCCTATTTTGAAATAAGCTATTTCAAAATAAGATATGCAATTGACATAGCTCAATTTATGTAGCTTATTTCCCGTTAAGCCCAGTAGTATAGACGCATGTTTTATAATTAGGTGTTAGATGATCAAACTAGCTGCTACAGTTACAGAAGTCATTCAATTTATCCTCCACAGAACTCATCATGTATCTTCTTTTGTTGTTACATTATGCGTACATTTCTTGATTTCCCTTTTTACTTACTAATTTGAATAGCTCCTATTGTGCTGATTGCTATGCTGCTTTAAGGCAAAATATTTTTCTTGATGATTTTTACTGTGTGGGGCTCAAATGAAAAATGAGAAGAAAGAACTAGCTATGTTACTGAAGTAGGCCCCAAAGGAAACTCAGAGTCCTACTGGGGAGACATATGAGCATAATTTTTAATTTATCCTCGGGTGACCAGGAGACTATATAGGCAAAAAAGCCCCTAGTGTAAGGAAAATGCAGGACAATGTAGCACTTTAAAGACTAACAAGATGGTTTATTAGATGATGAACTTTCGTGGGCCAGACCCACTTCCTCAGATCAAATAGTGGAAGAAAGTCACAACCATATATACCAAAGGATACAATTAAAAAAAATGAACAAATATGAAAAGGACAAATCACATTGCAGAACAGAAGGGGGATGCGGGGGGGTGGGAAGGGGGAGGAAGGAAGGTAAGTGTCTGTGAATTGCTGATATTAAAGGTAGGGAGAGTGGGATGTTTGTGAGTTAATGGTATTACAGGTGATAATTGGGGAAACTGTCTTGGTAATGGGTGAGAAAGTTCAAAGACTTGTTAAGTCCTTGTTGGTAAGTGTCGAATTTTAACATGAATGACAGTTCAGAGGATTCCCTTTCAAGTGCAGATGTAAAAGGTCTTTGTAGCAGAATGCAGGTGGCTAAGTCATTTAGAGAGTGTCCTTTCTGGTTAAAATGGCAAGAAACTGTTTTTTCTTTGTGATCTTGTCTGATATCTGTTTTGTGGGCATTAATCCTTTGGCGAAGTGTCTGAGATGTTTGTCCAATGTACATAGCAGACGGACACTTTCGGCACATGATAGCGTAGATTATATTTCTGGATGCGCAGGAATATGTGTTCTTGATCTTATAACTCACTTGGTTAGGTCCAATAATGATATCAGCAGAATGAATATGTGGACAAAGCTGGCAACGGGGTTTGTTGCAAGGGAAGGTACCAGGGTTGGTATTAGTGTGGTATGTCCTGTGGTTGTTGGTAAGAATCATCTTGAAGTTAGGTGGTTGTCTATAGGAGACTATGGGTCTGTCTCCCAGAGCTTCTTGGAGTATGGTATCCTGTTCCAGTATAGGCTGTAGTTTATTGATAATGTGACCTAGAGCAACGTTTCTGAAGCCATAGCCACTGTAGAACAGATGTGATAAATACCTTTAGAAAATCCCAAATCATACTATCAGAGTAATATTAAACTGGAAAATCTATATTCCGAACCCCTGATCATTTTAGTTGCCCTTTTTGGAAACCTTTCCAAGGCCAAAATATATTTTCTGGGGTGAGGAGATCACACAGTACTGAAGATATGGCATACCATAGTTTGATACTTCCCCTCCTCCTTCTTCCCCTGGCTTTCCCCTTCC